AAAAATTAGATTCTTTCCAGTTAGCAAGGAGACCATAAATGAATGAACACTTCCTATCCCCATGTCTCCTCACCTCCATCTAATCTCAGGAAACAAAGAGAAAAGGTGGGGGGGGGTCAGAGTGAGAAGGAACTACTTCACAAGTATTCAGAAAAAGAACAACATCTCTCTCTACTTTAAGTGGGAAAATGCACAGCTATTCTTTGTAGCTGTCCTCAGAGACAAATATAGAACTCCTTTTTCCCAGCACTTTCCTGCCTCAAATAGGGGGTAACTATCTCTACAGAAGAACTACCAGAATACATGATGCCACATGTTAATCCTACCTCAGGGTTGCAACCATTAGTTTTCCTTTTGAGAAGTTCATGACCCCCAGAATTGACAACAGCCTCTCCCCTAGAGAAAATAATACTTATAACCTTTGGGGGCTGAGAAATACTAGATCATAGAAGATACAGAAGTAAATGTAAAAATCTTGAAATAAATGACTGTGATACCAAATTGATTCTTATTTATCTAGTAATTAAATTATTTTGCCATATCTGTAATAGGGAGGTGCTATCCTTCAATTCAGCAAATATTTATTAATCCTGTGTAAGGTACTGTTGATTTTTTTAAGTCAGTGAAATGACCCTATTCATTCTGGAAAATCTTTCCTTGATTCCTTCTCCAAACATCCTCAAATCATACTCTCTTCTTCCATTTCTTATGATACTTTGTCTATAACTCTCTAAACTACCTACTTTGAATTATGCTTTTCTGTGTAGATCTTATTCTGCCTCGTGTAGACTGTCAGTTCCTTGAGGGCAGGAACTGTGTTTTTCATCTTTGTGTGTTCTATTTCTCACAACTAACTAGTGGACATTTAATAAATTTTTTAAATGGGCTATTTCTTTATTACCTTCTTAATTTAAGAAGTCCTCCCACTTGCTCTACTGACAGAAAAGATGATATGACATTCTTTGTATCTTTAAAGTTTCATCTCACATAATTTGTGCTCCAGCCAAAGTCCTCTATTCCACAAACATCTCATTTTTTCCCACTTTGTTCAAGTTACATGTTATTACAAGGAATGAAGGTCTTTCTGCTTATAGATATTCTCTCCATTCTTCATGCCCCAATACCACCTTCAGTCAGGAATTAATTTTCCTTTCCTGGAAGGTTCCTACTCAGCTATGAAGATATTATATTCCATTTTGTATCAGTTATTTGTGAGGATGTTTTATTATTACTACTAGAACGTAAACCTCCTTGAGGGTGGAGATTCTGTCTTATTTTGTTTCTCATCTTCTTCAGCCTAGCACAGTATCATATATACAGGTCTTTAGTAAATGTTTATTGAAGGTGAATTTGTTGATTCAGAACTACACTTTGACAAAAGTAATCTGGCAGTGAGGTGAAGAACGGAAGAAAAGACAGCAGCTAGAAAGCTATAAAATAATTCAGGTAAAAGGTTAATTGAAGCCGGGGTGCTGTTAGTGAAAATGCAAAGATTTACCACGCATTTCTATGGTGTTCAAATAATTCATTTAAAATTATTGTATAACAAAAATTTGATTTATGTGCTGAAGCAGTGTGGAACAAATGAACTTGTTAGGAGTGAAATATGGATTTAAGTCCCAGACTTGAGCTGCATGAACATGGCCAAATCATAAACTCTGTGAACCTCAGTTTCCTCATCTATAAAGTGAGGATAACATGTGCATGAAAAGCAGCCTGGCCTAAGTGAATAGAAGGACCCAGTCAGGAAAACTGTTCAATTACTATCTCTTAAAACATACAAAGCAAGACACTTAACCTCTCAGTGTCTGGATGCAATTTTCTAAGACTCAATTGCCAAAAAATTCACACTGGTATTAGGATTCCCTCATCTAAGGCTTTATAAATCACCGAAATTTCTGGTCCTCATTGAAACCCTCCTCAGTCTTCCCCTGCCCCACCTGTATAACTCCTTCACAAGGTTGTTGTGAGGGAAGAGTTTTATAAAGTTTAAAGTGATATGTAAAGTTATACACAGCTTTCAGAAACATATCTATTGTTTAAATGTGGACACATCATGACAATATTTTTCATAGAGCCTAACAAAACATTTACAAGTATTCTGTATACTTAATACTCAAGTGAATCTGTAACCTCATTGATGTGAATATTCCTTGCATACAAGATAAATAAATGGTTACTGAATTCAAATGCCTAGTAGAGTTTTCTGCACATTCGATAAGTTTAAATAATTTTTCTTCAAGTTCTTTGGAGTAAAGTTTTTATCAGTGAGGTAAGGAAGCAGTGCTCTGGAAGCTTGGTATGGGTAGCAATCATTTAAAATTCAGGATCTCTGGGGTAGCTAGGTGGCGAAGTGAATAGAGAGCTCCAGCCTTGGAGTCAGGAGGACCCGAGTTCAAATATGATCTCAGACACATGACACTAGCTGTGTGACTCTGGGCAAGTCACTTAACCTCGATTGCCTCGCCAAAAAACATTCAGGATCTCTGGTTTCCTGACACAGGCAACTCCTTTCACTAAATAAATTTTACTGATCTCACTGAGAGAAACAGATAAAAGTGACTTGTCCATGGTCACACAGCCAGTTAAGTGTCAAAAGACAAAAATTGAACTTAGGTCTTCCTGACTCTGTAAGTGTTCTCTGTAAGTGTTCTATTCATTTGAACACATTTCTCCAGCTAATTTATTCCACTATAACAGCCACTCTTCTTTAATATTTATTCTCTATTTATTGGGCCCCTCTTGAAGGCTTATAAATATGCATGTCTCCTCTTCTCAAAAAACACTTACTTGATCCTACCATCTCTGCTATCTATCATGTTAATATCTTTTCTGCCCTTCTCAGCTAAACTCCTTGAGAAAGCCTTCTACACTTGATGCCTCTATTTCTCTTATTTAATTCTATAATCTCTAATCTTGTTTCTGACCTTATCATGTAACTGAAATGAAACTTGACTTCTCTGCTGTCTTTTAACAGTGTCCCAACCTTTTTAGTCTCAGGACCACTTTATACTCTTTAAAAATTATTGAGGATCCCCTCAAAAAAAAAAGCTTTTGTTTACTGGGTTTATGTGGGTTACATGATATTTGCCTTATCAGAATTTAAAACATCTTAATATTATTATGAAAATGGTTTTGATTCACAGACTGCTTGAAAGGATCTGGATCACCCTTTCTACTGGATATTTCCCTTTTTTTTTTTTTCATGACAGGACTTTCTACTAGTTCTCTTCCTGTCAGTATCCTTTGTTGGATCTTCCTCCAGGTCATGCACCCAAGGAAGGAAGGAATGAAACAAACAAACATTTAAGTATACACCGTGTGCCAGGCACTGAGCTAAGCAATTTCTCTCATCTGATCCTCACAACACTTCTGGGTGCTATTATTATCCCCTTTTTACAGTTGGGGAAAGTGAGACAAACAGAGCTTAAAGTGACTTGCTCAGAGTCACATACCTAGTGTCTCAGGCTGGATTTGAACCTTCTTCCAGACTCCAGGCCCAACACTGTATTCACTGAGTCACCCAGACAGGGTCTGTCCTTGTCCTCCTTCCCTTCTCACCCTACACTTATCTCACTTCATATTCTCAGTTTCTATAGGTTCAATTATCATCTCTATGCAGATAATGCTCAGACTTATTTATCAAACCTTAACTTCTCCCAACCTCCACCAAGTCACCTACTGGACAACTCATACTGGATGTCCCACAGATATCTCAAACACTTCCAAAACAGAACTCATTATCTCTGCCTTCCCCCCCACCTCCATCCGTCCCTTCTTCCAAACTTCCCAAATAACCTCAAGGGCACCATCATTGTCCCAACCATCCAGGCTCTTCCTCCTTGACTCCTCTTTCTCAGCCATACAATCTGTTGCCAAGTCTCGTAACAGTATCTACCCACACAACAGCTCTCCTATCTATCACTTCTCTCTACTCTCTCACCCTCCACCCTGGAGCAGGGCCTCATCACTTCACTGCTGGACTACTGCAACAGTCTCTTAATTCATCTCCCAAAACACAGTCTCTTCCTACCTTAGTCTTTCCTCCCCTCAGCTGCCAAAGTAATTTTCCTAAGGCTGGCCTCACCACATCAACAATTCTCCTTCCCTTCAATAAACTACAGTGGCTCCTTATCTCCAGGATCAAATATAAAATTCTCTTTTGGTCATTTAAAACCTTTCACAAACCTAACTTCTACCTTTTCAGTCTTCTTAAATTTCATTCTCTTCCACTTTGTTTCACGATCCAGTTACACCAGCCCACACTTGCTCCTCTCCTAAGATACTCCGCCTGTGCCTTGACACTGGCTGTCTTCCATTCTTCCATTCCATTCTCCTCACCTCCACCCATTGGCTTCCTTCAAGACTCCAACCTTCTGCAAAGGGCCTTTCTTGGCTCCCCTCTTCCCCCAACTCCCCTGACACTGCCTTCCATTTACGTCCTACTCTGGGAGTTCCAAAGGTCGATGCAGATTTGAGTTTTCATAGCTTGCAGGTTAGTAAGCTTCTTAAAGGCAGGCACTATCTTTTGGTATTCCCAGAGCTCAGCAGAGTACGTGGCATTTAGTAAATGCTTGTTGAACGCCTCTATTAATAAACTTATTTTTAACGGACAAAATACTCCCAATTTATTCACACTCCCATGGTTCTGTGGGTTAACAACCTCTATCAGGGCAGATCTCAACTTGGCTGGGATCACTTTCCTGGGAGACTCCATCCCCGTCCATGCCAGCTGGTTGGCTGCTGGTTAACCCAGCACTGATTTAATGTTTTTTGGGTGGGTGGGTGGGGACTGCAAAACTTTCCAAGAAAAAAAAAAGCAGTTTGGGGTTTTTTTGGGAGAAACTCACGACTGTTACAGATTGAACCCCATCGTAACAGAACGCCCTAAACGAGACGCTGTGCATGGCATCTCGGCGAACTGTTCAGGGCGGTCTGTTAAATGGCTGGACAAGTGACCATCCTCACGTCTGCGGCCCGCCGGAAGTTCCTTCGGTTACCTGACTCCCACTTTGGTTTGGAGCGGAGCCGCTGGCACGGCGGAGCAGAGGCCGCCCCTCGGCCGATCCCGGGCCCGAGCCCGCGGCGGGGCGGGGAGGGGCGCCCCTGAGGAAGTTACTCTGGCGCCTCTTTCCCTTCGGCTTCCTCCCCAGCCCTTTTCCCTCCCAGGAACATAACATTCAATTACGAGGAACGGCGCGGCCGAAAGGCGCTGGTAGGAGGCGGCGTCTAGGCAGCGAGGACGGGGGACGGTGGCGGGCAGCCGTTAAGGCCGTTGGCCGCAACCCCTCCACGTCCAGCGGATGTGAAACGCGAGCAGGAAAGACGCGTGACTGCGCGCACGCTTCCCTTTCGTCTTCTACACGCTGCGCAGTTCAGGGGGCGGGAAGCCTACCTAGCAAAACTACCACTCCCAGGAGGCAACGCGCAGTTCCGAAGGCTTTTACAATGGAAACTTGTCTCGGGCACCCTACGGAGATGGAAAGGGAACTGCCGCTTCCGTCAAGCACGGTCTGTGTCGAAGGCAAGCTGGGAGGAGGTGGGTGCGGGAGGAACTTCAAAGCCCAGCGGGCCCTGCGCGAGCAACGCCTGCGCGATGAGAGGACGGGGGGGCGGTCGGGCCATTTAAATGTGTGTGTGGGTGAAATGGCTGCGCAGGTCGGAGCGGTGCGCGTAGTGCGGGCGGTGGCGGCGCCCGAGGAGCCGGACAAAGGGGGGAAGGAGAAGCCCCGGCCCGGGACCTCGCCCCGTGGGACTAAGCGGCAGCGCCGGGCGAGCAGCGGGGGGCCCCGGGAGAAGCGGGGGCGGCCGAGCCAGGACCCCCCTCCCGCTCCCCCTTACCGGCGCCGTCGCAGCCGCCAACAGCCCGGGCCGCCGCCGCCTCCTGCTGCAGCCTCCACCGTCCCGGGCCCCTCGGAGCCGCTGCTGCTGCCGCCGCCGCCGCCGCCCTCGCTGGCCCCCTCGGGGCCCCCTCTGGCCGCACCGCTGGCGGCCTCGGCGCTCTTCACCTTCTCGCCGCTGACGGTGAGCGCGGTCGGGCCCAAGCATAAGGGCCACAAGGAGCGCGAGAGGCACCGGCACCACCACCACCACGGCGGCGACCCCGGCTCGTCGGGCGTCGCCGGCCCCAAGCACAAGGGCAAGCGGGAGAACGGCGACCAGAGCGGCGGGCTGTCTCCTGCCAGAGCTCCCAAGAGAGGTGAGTTCGGGCGGCCCCTCCCCCTGCCCGGGAGCGGGCTACGGTCCTGGCGCCCTAGGCCCCGCCGCCCGCCTCTGGGGGCTTCGGAGCGTCCCGGCCTACGCCCAGGCCCCGAGGCTGAGCTGTTGTCCAGCCGGGAAAGCCCTCCCTGCCCTCGGCCTGAGGCTCGGATGGGGCTCCCTGAACTCCCGGCTCCGCGGGCTCCCTCCCCGAGGCCAGCTAGGCCCTCAGCCCAGCGCAGGGCTCGTTGGGGTCCCCCCCACCCCCGCTCGGCCCTCGCACGCTGAGCCTCGGCTGGGCCTCCGCGCCCCGGCTAGCGCTTTGTTTTGTCTTCCCGGGGTGCCCCCCAAACGCCCGGGGCAGGAACCCGCGCGGGCGTCCCGGTAGGGCCTCTGGGTAGTCCTGGGCAGGAGTTCTCTGAAACTTAGGCGGGCTCGAAAGTTGACCAAGTTTGTCCCCCCAGACCCACCCCTGGTCGGGTTAGCGGTGCACACCCACTACAACTCCTTAGGTATTTGGGGGCTCCTGCCTCTGTCACGAAGGCCAAGAAAGGCCAACTCAGAAAATGCCCTTCCTATCTTGGACGTCTCTCCTGGTTAGTCTGTTATTAATTGCTATGATGGGTAGAAAACGTAGGCTACAAAGTTGTTTAAAATAATTCATTGTAAATGCTGCACTTCTTAATGGGAGAACACTTAGGTTTGCTCCTAATCGCCTGGCCTGTTAGATAGTAGACGATTAAGAACCACTTCATGGCATTTCTTCCATGGAGTTAAAAGTAATACTTTTTATTATTTACTTGCTAGGCTTTTTCCATTCAGTGGAAAAAAAATAACTTGCTCTTAATCGGATACGTTGTTTTTGAGTGGAATTATCATAGAATGAACTAGTTACTGCTTTTTTGAGAATATACTGGTTGCCGAAGATAGATTTTTTTTTTAAAGATTCTTTTTACTTACAAGTTGGTTTCTGTTTCTTTCGTGTGTACAGAAAGACACTAGAGTATAGCAGGCACAGAAATCAACTATCACATCTTTTTGGTCACTGCTGTAAACCTTTCCCCAAAACTTAGCCAGCATTGAATGCCTTGTCTTGCTGATTTTCTGTAGGTTTGTCTGTTGGAGCACTGACAATTTGGTCCCTTTGTAGTCCCTGTAATTTGTTTCAGGTGGTAAAGGGATGGCCTCAAGGTCATAAGATACTACTTTTTAAATTTGCCCTATTACCAGGCGGTAAGGTTCTTAAATACTTATGGAATGAATCTTTCAGACCAGGTTTCTGGAATTCTCATTCTTTTCCACATCCGTAGTTGCTTTCATCTTCTGGCCTCTCTCATTTGTTTTGTCTGTAGGTGTTATTTGTTACCTGGCTCTTTACTTCTTTTTAAATATCTCCTTTTATCCTTTTCTATTTCAGTAATATCTAGATCCTAGCAACCAATGACTAATTCGTGACGATGGCAGGAGGTTATTTTCTGTCATTTGCCCTTTTCTGATATTCTTTAGGGCAGTAGTTGGGGCCCAGAATGTGTCTGAGTCCAGCCTAATATATTTCTTTGCTGGATCCCTTGCTCTTTATTTGAAAATCTTTGAGAATTTATACTTTATTAACTGGCAAGTGAAGTGGGTTAAAATCTGGACTGCAAGTGAATTTTTAATATTTGCTATTCTACAGAGCCGTATCTTACCCCAAACCATGGGATCAGAATCTCGATTGTGTTGTCTTAACTACTTGGTAAATGATCATTGTAGATCAAATGTAGATCATTGAAGATCAAGAGATGCTAAACTTTTTGAGAAAGTGGTAATTACATGCTGAATTTAAAAAATATATATTAAAAACAAACATGTGAAAGACTGGATTACATGGAAATATTTTGTATTTACACTTTTTTGTTGAATTGGAGTGGCCTGACAACCCAACCTTTCAGAAATAGTAAAGTAACATTAATTTACCATAAAAACTGATGTTTCTCCCTCACTCTTGAGACCTCTCCATCCTTCCCCTGTCACAGGCACACAATATCCACAGTCTCTAGGCAATAGAACTATCTCTTCCTTCTTGCTAGTTAGATAAATTGCTGGGATTTCTTATTGCTTCAGACTTTTGACTTGAACAGAAATTTTGAAAGAGAAAACATAAAAAGACCCTTATTTTTTTGTCTCTGATGTCGATGTCATTAAATGACAAGAATGCTCTTATGCATTCCCTGGTGAGTCAGACTTCCTTTCTTACATTCTTCCATCTTTGACCAATTGCCCAGACTATGTGGAGATATTTCAGAGCCAGATAAAATAATGGAGAGCTCTTCTGATCTTCGTAAGTTTCTAGTAGACTTAAACATAGAACCATCTCTTAATCATTTGTGGTTGTGATGGTGGTGGTGGGCTTAAAGGGGATGCCAGAATTGTGATCTAGAGGACTAGCCTCAGGACCAGCACAACCGGGGGTCAGATACTGCATTTAAAGCATATTGCAGACTGTGTGACCCTGAGAAGACCTCTCGAAGACTCTTTGTTGCAGAGAAGGTCCTGACCTGCATTAGAAGTTTTCCTCATCTGGGAGTTCCCTATACAAATTCCATCACAGCTACAATCCTACTTCCTCTGTGTATGGGGATCGTGCTGAGAACTGAATTATACAATCCCCTAACCACCAGAACTGCTGGGAGATCTTTTCAGCCTTTTTTTCCCCTTGCCTACCCTTCCAAGAGGCTAATGGTGCAGTAGGGAAGAAGGAGGTGACCTAACTGCAGGGACCTGAAAATCTGCACCCTGGGGAATCTAGAGTTGACCCTAGTATCATCAGTGAGCTCAGTTCTCCTTGTGTTAAAGAAATGAATTAATGTTGCTTCTGGAGAGGTATATTCTACTTTAGCCACTTTACATCCGTAAGGACTACCCTTTCAGCTTTATCGTTCTAGGATTCTTTCATTGAACTAAATGGTGCCATGATGAAGTGGATTTGATATTTAAAAGCATGTTGTCTTATTAGTCAACCTAATATGCAACAGGCATTGTGCTAAGTGCTGGGAATACAAGGATAAAGAGTGAAACAGTCCCTACTTGGAAATTACATTCTAATAGGGAGACAACAAGGACATACATACATGCATGTATGCATGCTTGCATATATGTAAAGTTTATTATATATACACACAACATACTTTTAAAAATATACACACATATACAAATTAGTTAAATATACACTGCTGTAGAAGGGAGGGTACTAACAGTTGGGATCAGGAAAGGCTTCATGCAGAAGATGGTGTCTGAGCTGCATCATAAAGGAAGAGGAGAGGGACTGAGTATAAGGTGGAAGTAAGAAAGGAGTGCATTCCATGAATGAGGGAGAGCTAGTGCTCAATTTTAATTCCCTCTAATTTTGAAAAATAGATGCTACATTTTTTTAGTTGGTTGAACAAGGTTATATTGTCAAATAAATTAAATATCCATAGTTATCATTTCCAGAAAGATTGGGAATCATTGCCCTGATGACCTGAAAAATATGAACCAGTCTTTAAAGAACATTTCTTTCCCTTATTGGGGAGGATTTGGATTATAATGAGGACAACTTTTGGGACTAGACTAGAATTTCAGAAAATAACAAGTCCGAGATTGACCTCAGAGAACAGTTAAAAGGTTGTATTTCCCTCCCTTCTTTGCAGAGGCAGGGGGACTGTGGTTGTGGAATATTTCATATATTGTCAGACTTGGTTATGTGTGGTTTTACTAAACTACCTCACCCCACCCCCACCCCCAACCACCTTTGCTATAATCAAGGGCCATCAGGTAGGAAAGGGGTCAGAGAGAGATATTGAAATGTGAAGATGATTTTTAAAACAACAGTTGGTTATCAATAAATAAAAATTTTTGAGAGAACATTACAGAAAACGTGTTTTTAATGAATACATATTATATATGTATAAAAGACTATAAAAATTGGAAATATTTTTTTATTTTGAGAACTTCACAATGTTAATTATGTCTTCTAAGTTGTAAGTTGTGATTCAAGTGTAAAAATAAGTGTAGGTTGAAGTTAGCCTAAATATGGAGTAAAACAAATTAAATTTTTTTAATCAAGGAAAATGTACAGTTGGTAAATGAGTTGTACTGCTAGTCAATAAATAGTAAACATTTTTAAGCACTTACTACTTGTCAAACACTATACTAAGGATACAAATACAAAAAATAGAAATGCTGTCCCTGCATTCACGGAGCTTACATTCTAATGGGGAAGCAACACACAGAAGGAAGCTATTAAAAGGAGTAGTTGTGGCAGGATGGCAAGAGGGAGGAGAGGATACTAGACTCTGATGGAGAAGTCAGCCAGTCAGTCAGAAGCCATAAAGTAGTGCATCCAGGTAAGAAACAAGGAGGTAATAGAAGTTTGCCATACTAGCAGACATAAGGATATTATTTTAGAATTTATCTTGTACTACTCAGTGCTAGAAGGTAATCATGTTAGTTCAGCCATCAATTTAATTTTCAAGTGTTTGATCATCTTTTTCTTGTTTGAATTGCTATATATATACTTACTTTTTATCTTGAAACTTCTGGAATGTTGTACTTAAACACAAAAGTAATCTATCTAATGTGCGTTATTAACTTTCATGAATGAATTCATTGCTAGTCTGCCAGATAATTTTATTTAATAGGTCATTAATCTGTATCCAAAGCATATCTATCTAACTTGGAGAGATGTCTAAAGTGATATAGTCATCTGTGCCCTCTGACATGATTCTGCCCCCATACAAGTTCAGGTAATATGGTATTCTTGAACAAGGAAAGATATCTTAAAATACAGCCTATGTTAACATTCCGGAACTGAGCAACCAGGTCACCATCCCATCCCTCTTGCACGTTCCTCCCCCCTTCTCCCTTCCATCTCCCATTGATATCTTAACACTAGCTAGCATTTGTATATTTGCAAAGTGCTTTACAAATTTTATCTTAACGTTTTATCTTCTGTGAGGTAGGTGCTATCTTTATCTCCATTTTATAGTTGAGGAAACTGAAGCAGACAGAGGTTAAGTGACTTGCCCAGGGTCACACAGCTAGTACTTGTCTGAGGCTGGATTTGTACTGACATCTCCCTGATTCCAGGGATCCATTGATCCACTTTATCACCATTTCAGTGGAAAAGAGTGGGTGCCAACCCACCTATGCCTTGAGGTTGATTGTAAAGAGGGTATTGGCCTTAGATCAATAATAAAATTACCTGTGCTTGCCACATAGTAGGAACTTAATAAATGTTGATTGATTTGTTGATTGATTCTTTGAGAAGGTATTTGGTACTAACCTTAATCCTTTTCCTTAAGGAAAGCCTTCTTGTTCTTTTGTCTTTGGCCTATCACCTACCTGGCTCAAAGGCTTCCTTTTAGAGGAAAAGAAACTAAAAAAGAGATTTTTTGATATGTTTCTACACCAAAGAATTTTAAAATTGCAATTCTGCCTATGAAGTACATCATTTGGAATTGATACCACTTAGCAAAAAAAATAATTCTAAGAATAGCTGGAAAGTTTCTGCATGGAATGTAAGTAATATAGGTAGTGTGTCATAGATTGTGTGATTTTCTAATGATCAAAAGTAGGTAAAAAAATCAAAGTTCAGAAATATTTAAATCATTCAGAACCCTGAAATACTGTTAGTGTGTTAGCTTCTAAACCAAATGACGTTTCCTTTGGAAAGAGAAGCAGCTATTTTGTCAGAAAACCTGTCTACTCACAACAAAAAAACAAAACTGTAAGAAAATTTGGAATACAAATGAGTGTTATAGTCAACTCCGCTGAGGCTTTGTCATGTTAGGAACACCAGCCCTAAATTGGTAGTAATATAGAAAATGTGTTACAATCAAGGCAACTCTGTCTTGGTGTTAATTTCAGTGGCAGATCTAGGTCACAATTCATTTTCTGCATACAAAATAGCTGTGCCCGAAATCTTAAGGTAATAGGATCTTTTCAGCAAGACTTTTTTTTTTCTGTGTATGTGCCTCCTTTAAATGAAATTAAATCACTAAAATATTGACATGGTGTTTAAAATTAGTAATCTAATTTATGTAACCTATGTACAGAGTAGCATTAACACTTAGTTGCTTGGGAACACTGCCAAAAATCACTTAGGTATATAGGACAAAGTTAAACAAATTAATTTCTGTCTTGAAAGAAGTACATCTTGTAAATGTGTTTAATTTTGCTTTCTAAATTGAATATGTTTAACTTCCCTTCCAACTACTAAAAGTTGTAATTCCTAGCTCTTAGAGATTTGTTCATATTGTAACTTTGCAAATACTACTGAAGGCTGAATTCAGTTTTAGTATCAAGTATTTAATATTATTCATAGGCTCTTAAAGGCAGTTGTTAATTAGAAATAGAAACTAATCAGGATTAAGTCTTCAAAATATTTGGTTTATGCTTTAGCCTATTTATGGGTTCTAGGTTTTTAAAGTTTATTATTCTAATCTACTTTTTGCATATTTAGTGAGAGTTACAGTGAGAAGATCAGGATCTTAATTTATTTCGTGCATATTAATTCCCTCCTTAAATGTTATTTCAAAGTAAACCCCAGATTAATAATTCATATAGGTACTCAACTGACACACTTATTTGTGTTTTGTTGTGAAGTAAGGTATGTGTGGCTCTGTGCATATGTGTGTTCGTGTGTGTGGACACATTTTGTGGGTAGCTTTTTTTTTTTTAAAGTACCACACCTGATATTTAACTTTGTAGATCACCTATAAGGTACTGATTCCATTTTTTGACTAATAAATTATCTTTCTTAAGTATTTTACTAGTTAAACTATAGACTAATATCAATATACTAACTTAATTTTAGCCTTGCTTAAATTTTATAAACAGACTCAGGTGTCTAGAATACATGTATTAACTACTAGAGATATTTTTTAATCTTGGTCACATGACCATTTCCCCTAGAATATAAAGGTATGTTTTTACTTACTCTTCACATTTGAATACTGTTATATTAAGACTATTGTTAAGTTTTCTAGCACTGATATATTTTAAAATGGGGAAAATGACCTAACTAATCTGATCTGAATCAGCTTAATAATAGGATTCCTTTAGTTAGGAAAAAAAATACATTTTTAAAAGTTTGTGTGATGTCATTAAAGACCAAATAACTGACTTCCTTTTAATTATTATGGCCAGAAACACCAGATGAAAATGGCAAAACCCAGAGGGCTGATGACTTTGTCATGAAGAAAATAAAGAAGAAAAAGAAAAAGAAACATCGAGAAGATATGCGTGGGAGACGCCTTAAAATGTACAACAAAGAAGTGCAAACTGTCTGTGCTGGCCTGACCCGAATTAACAAGGAGATTCTGACCCAAGGACAGGTGAATAACAGGACAGGAGTTAACAAGGAATCCTTCAGGTATCTGAAAGATGAGCAGTTGTGCCGACTGAATTTGGGCATGCAAGAATACCGGGTACCCCAGGGAGTCCAAACACCATTTATGACTCACCAGGAGCATTCTATTCGTAGCAACTTCCTAAAAACAGGCACTAAATTTAGTAACTTTATTCACGAGGAGCACCAGTCCAATGGTGGTGCTCTAGTTCTTCATGCCTACATGGATGAACTCTCATTTTTGTCTCCAATGGAGATGGAGAGATTTTCTGAAGAGTTCCTTACTCTAACATTCAGTGAAAACGAAAAAAATGCAGCTTACTATGCGTTAGCAATAGTGCATGGGGCAGCTGCTTATCTGCCTGACTTCCTGGACTATTTTGCTTTTAATTTTCCCAACACTCCAGTGAAAATGGAAATTCTGGGCAAGAAAGATATTGAAACAACAACCATTTCAAACTTTCATACTCAGGTAAGGTAAAGGTTGTGATGAATTATTCAGCAACAACAGTTTATTTATTGCAAAAGTGTAACCCTCAAATGCCACTGAGCAGTGCCTAGCAATACTTTGACAAAGTTTAATGTCACTGAATATAGTTTAAAATTTCAGGTTTGTTTGTTCCTTTTCCTGAAAAATCTTAATTGCTAGAGCAGATATTCTCCTTGCTTGAGGAGGGTGGGAGAGAGTGTTTGTTTGAGCTTAATCTAACAAACCTAAACTGGGAATTCCGCATATTGATATATCAGTGCTAGTTGTGGAAGAATCAGATTGAAGGAAATCAATCTGTTCTTGCACAAATCAGGAACATGTTGGCTTATTGTGTAGCAGGTGTGATTGGGTCTGGTAGTTTCAAGGTATTAAACTAGTTAATGCCTTGGACTTCATGATGAAACGTGAGGGTCTTGGCCTTTTTATTTGCCAGGCTTGAACTGGTCTTTGTCTCATTTCTTCCAGTAACTTGTTGGCAGTCTATCCCAGAAATACACCCCATTTGTGTGACTTGGAAGTGTCACTAGGAAGACCGCCATAGCCTCTGCTCCTTCTGCCTGTAAATACTTACGATCTAAACTACTCTGAAGCCTTGCTTGGGCAGCTAGGCTTAAGTCAGCAGGGAACTTCTCTCCCCTTCACAACCAGTGGCTTTTTAATCAAAGGAAAATTTTTTTTTTCAAACTGATTTTTATTTTTTAGGACATAATGGGAAATCAGCATTATCTACCCCTTTTTTCTCCCTCTCCTAGCTTTTCTCATAGGGATTATGAATGGTTATGGTATAGATAATGTAAATCCTGCACAAGTTGTTATGGAGAAAAACTCCTCCTGTAGGAATTTGATATTATGATTTATATGTAGTCTGGTTTTTCAGGTTATTTAACACCTTGCTGCTGATATTGGCCTTGGGGACTTTTTTTTTAGGGGTCATCTAGACTGTAGCACATAAGGCTCTCAGCTGCCAGCAGTATGATGCTTATACAAGCCACTCAGGTCTATTTGAAACCTCTTCTAACTTAAATCTTGCCAGTGATTTTTTTTTTAACTGTCCTTGCCTCCAATGAGGGGAGTATCCAGTTTAGATTCATAAGCTTCAGAATTTCTCTAATTGAAGTTCTCTCTGCAGTAGAGAGAGCAGGAGCAGCCAATCTGGAGAGGTCGCAAGATGGGGCGGCCCAAGACGTTGGAACACGATGTGCAATAAAGGGCTTCGTCTTGGATTTTGGCCTTGTTACCACAATCAGGTACCGAAGTGCTGACTTTTGTAGTAGATTTTGGGTTTTATTTTTTATTTTTTTTTATTTTTTAGGCGTTTTGCCCTATAAAGGTTAAGGAAGCCAGTTTTTATAAGTATTGAAGAGACTGGAAACCAGTACTTCTAGATTAGCCCATCTACCACAAGTCCCTAATTAATAAGAAAAGGTGTTGCTGAGAGCATATTTAATGTGGTATAACACTTTTTTTTTAGAAAAATGCAGCAAACTTTCAGTTTGGATGGAGAGGCCAGCAAGTAGCTCTAAGAAATGCCAGAAGGTTGGAAAAATAAGGGTCCTGGTTTTATAAGGGTGACTTTTACTTCCAGGTTCTTCTGTATTGGACATAACATATCCAGGCTGACAGCATACAGGCTAAAAATATAAGCAAATGACTCTTAAATTCCCTGCTGATTTTTGTCCTCCAATTTTTAAAATGGAGCTGAAATTTATATGACTGTACCAACAACTTACCTTGAGTTTAAGAATGGTTATTTTTAAAAGAATAGGTAAGATTATTGATAGGCTTGATATAGTTCTTATTCACCATGTTCCCCATGGGAGAATTTTGGGGACCATGGGATACTGACATTTAGGTAACTTGTAGTGGCTCTGTTAACTTAGTTTAATACTGAGAATTTTCAGTTTTCGGGAGTATACAGTTAGAGAAGAAAGCATGACTTGGTCCTAGGAGCGTGTATTCAGATTTGTACATGGAAAATGCTTGGGTATGGTAGAATGGAATAGTAGCAAACGTATTTTAGGAGCCAAGACTAGTGGTTTTTTTAACATACTACAATAGTCAGTAGAATTAAATATTTTAAAGGTAAAGGTTTAATAAATACTTCTCATTAATTCACAGTTTATAACTACTATATTGGTGTAAATATAGTTTATACATGTAAAAATCTCCTTAAAAGGAAGGAAATATTTAGGTATAAGTTGGAAAAATGTTGATCATAGATTGTCCTCTGGTCCTTTTCAAGTTTCATTTCTGGGGAAAATATTTTTTATGTAACAGCAGTTACTTTAGAATACTGGACCTGGTGTCTTCTAAGCCTGAGTTCTGATCCGTCCTCAGATAACTTCACTAGCTGTGTAACCTTGGATAAGTCACTTAATCGCTCTCTGCCTCAGTTTCCTCATCTGTAAAATGAAAACAATAATAGCGCTTACCTCCAAGGTTGTTAGGATGAAATAAGATCATATTTGTAAAGTGCTTTGTAAACTATTAAGTGCTGCGTAATTCTTTTATTCAGATCATTAGAACACTTATAGGACTTCTTGCTTAGTTTTATGCAAGAAGATGTGGAATTAATTGTGTAGTACTGGCAGGGCACAGCTAAATACTTCTTAATCAAGGTTTATGTTTTGGGGACCATGACTTGTTACATGTTTATATCTTTGTTAGCTTTTATTAGTTTCTATTGCTTGCATATTGGAACCAGGTTGATTTATTTTGTGGATAACAGTACAACATCCAGACTTCTTATCTGTTACTATTTAATCTAGCTACACGAATGACCTACCTTTTCTGGTCATACATGTCTTTGATGGCTTGTATGTTGTCTTCCTTAATGAAACTGTGAGTTCTTTCAGAGTGGGGACTGTCTTTTCAATTTGTTTCCTCAGTACTTGGTACATTGTAGGTGCTTAATAAATGCTTTTTCCATTCTACTTCTTGCACATAGGTCATTACCTGTAATAAGCTACAGTTTACTTTTACTTACTACCATCTTTTTAATTGTCTTTTAGGTCACTTGCAATTTTTTGAAGTATAGTTTGTTTTGTTGCATTTTGTTTTTCTGTAGGTGATAAATGGATTCACTCCATTCTTTGTTTTCTGTCTTGAAATTCTGGGTAGTTTTTTTGTGTTATTTACTTTATCATGACATTCAAGGTTTTTTGATTTATTTTCTTCAGGTAGATCTGTTATCTTTAAATTGTCTTTGTGCATCCTATTTTTGAGGTCAGTGGCTTTGGTTTGTATTGAGAGCTTGAGTTCTTTTAACGTTGACTTTTGTCTCTGCTTTGCCAGATCATCCTCCACTTAAGTATTTTTGTATGCTAAATCTGTTTATCTCGTAGGTTTCTTTGGAGAAACTCCACCCTTGATTCTGTTTTTTCTTCTAATCTGCCAATTGAGTTTTATTTCTGCTTTAAGAACTATACTTTCTTGAATGAAATGGATAATGAAAATTCTGGCTTTTGTTTTTTTCCCTAATTTCCTTTTTTATGGATTTCGTTTTTTTAATGACTCTGGAATTTCTTGTTCCATGCTTTCTTGAGATTCCACAGTAAAAACTTTCCTTTTTTGTCCTAATATTTATTAAGAGAGCTTTGTAACCTCTTTGAGAATTTAATATTCATCCTTCCTTCTAGTTTCAAGATCACCTCTGTTGATTTATTTGCTTGTGCTGCGGGCTTTTGTTTTTGTTTTTAGTTTTGTGGCCAGGCAGAATCAATGTCCTCATTGTATCTTCAGGGTAGAAAGTGAGTGGAGTGTGCTGGTAAAGACTCTGTAAAGAGGAAATCACATTGTAGACTCCAAGCACGAGCTCTTTACTTAGTTTGAGCATCCCTGCCTGAATGTGGCTACTTGTTGAAAAGGGTACTAAGTGAATGCTTTTGATTATTAGTGTTCTCTATATTTAGCTGTAATTGTAATTGTACTACATCTAGAGCATAACTCTTCTTTTGTAGTTTTCTTGAGCATTAAGAAGCGATTGAGCTGAAGAAAATGTCTGGTCTGCCATGTTGCTGGTTATGTGACACAGAAATCTTTAGTCAACTGCAGATTTGATTTTTTTAAGACTTATTTTCAGTGATATGACATTATAGGAAGACTACTGGTCTTCTAACAGAAGAGAGGAGCAGCTAGGTGGAACAGTGGCTAGAGCTCTGGCCTTGGAGTCAGGAGGACCTGAGTTCAAATCCAGCTTCAGACACTTGACACTTAGCTATGTGACCCTGGGCAAATCACTTAACCTCAATTGCCTAACCAAAAAAAAGAGAGAGAGAGATCCTGTAGGAACCTCACTTCACCCTGGCTAAAGGAGGAGTAAGAGGTGGTGGAATGGGCACTGAACCTTTATAACCCCTACAGATAAGTTGACATTTCAGCAGATATTTAAGAAAACAGAAAAACTGCTTCCCTACCTCAGCAGACACCACAGCAGTTTAGCCTTACTCTCTGCCACAGAGCAATTGTTCCTTCCTGCAGCTTGTGGCTACAGGTAGGGCCATCAATACTACTCTTTCTGAGCTTACCACATTGTGTAGAGTGAGTAGTCCCTGGCCCAAAGCAGTTCCTTCACTGTTTAATGTTTTGTAAGGATGTGGCTAGTCTTGGAGGCAACTCACCAATGAACGCTGTTGGTGGTTAAGGGAGATGTGGTATGATGTGATATGGAGAAGTTGGGGAATAATTGAAAGTATTGCACAAGTGTAACAGTCTTCTCCCCTGTTAAATTCTGAACCAAGGTCATTAGTGTATGATGTATGCTCAAGATGTAGGTACTGATGGACTTTATTCAGTGGACTGCCAGTCTAGCTGCTTTGCCAGCTTTTGGGTAATAGACTTTCATTCTACTTTATTTCTTCTCTGTGGCTTGAGACAAATTTGTTGAATGGCCATGGCTTTCGTCGAGAAGGCCTTACAGTGTTTTGGGACTTGATGCAATCGGTATGATGCCATCAATGGCATAATGGGAGCATCTAGGGTGT